CACACACACACACACACACACACACACATACATACATACAAACATTTAAACCTGGAATCATTTATCTTTACAGACAGAAATAGACCTGATGCAACTCTGCTTTCCTCCAAAATCACATACCTTGTTACTTACGTTTTCCTAAATCTATCACCTCTGCAACAGATGTAGAGTGAAAGCTTAAGTAGGATAAGAGGCCAGATGTCTGAGCAGAAGAGTTGCTCAATCAGAAGAGTGGAAAGTGACATTTTGTCTAAAGCCACAGATTAGTTGTAAATGAGTGCAGCAGGAACTTCTTAAAACAAGATGTCACGCACAAATGTCCGAAACATGTTCGAGGACGTTTCATGCCAGCCCCCCCCAAAGTAAAATGTCTGGAAAAGGAGAGAGTCCATGTGAGCAGGAAAACGTCTGGGAAATTCACTGTGAGCAAGTGGGCGTTATAATGACAAAAGGAGACAATACGCTGTATTGCAATACGCCGCATTTAGAATATGCCGACGATGATGTCAGAGTACAAAGACAATGAGATTCGAGAGCTTTCGGAGATAAAGGCCAGTGATGATGTGCCGTAGTCAAAAATCATACATGTTTCACACAGAAAGGCCCCAACCCAAAACCAAGAACCTTCTTCCTGTCAGGCTACAGTCCACTGCACCACTTTGCTGCACTATGTGCTATATACAGATATGAGATGAACTAAGTAAACAGGTCAAGTTTTCCCTTTGCAGATAAACAGCAGATTGTATCTACTTCTTTCTCAGCTGACTCCTTTGACTCATTGTTTCGACCCTGTTCGGACCTAAAGAGCAGTGTTTTTACTGCATCATGATGCCTTTTCTGCAGATCATAAAAAGATGCCACTCAGAGAAATCGTGTGCTAAACTGATGTCTAAAGTTTCTAATGTCTCTCCAGCTTGGCAACCTGAGCCATCTGGAGCTCCGAGCTTCTTCCCACTGTCACCTCGTCTGCTCCGCTCCTCTCTGTCATCTGCCTTTTCCTCCTCCGTCTCCTCCCTCTCTCCACCTCACCAAGCCTTTCATACGGCATCTCTGCCGCGCTCTCCTCCACCTTTGAAGTAGCATGACATGTGCGGCGTGTAAACAAGGAGCCGTTAACACACTTCCCCCTGCGTTAGTGTCAGGTCGAGTAGCGAGCTAGTGATCCGACAGGGCCGCAGTGACAGACGCTTTATTCTCTGGAACAGAGTCGTGATCAAGCGGCACCGTGCTCGGCTTCTGAAGAGTGGAGGTGCTCTGCTCCTCCATTTAACAAAATCAGTGCTGGCCCACCCAGCACATGCACATGCACACGCACACACACACACACACATACACTGCACACGCACAAACAGGAAGACAGACTGAAATAGCAGAATAACAGAAGTAGGTGCCAGCGTTAGGTGCCAAACACTGGAGTCGGCTTTACTTTCCTGGCAGAAGAATCACTATCAGAAGTGTGAAATAAACAGATTCGATGATACGAGCCAAATAACAACGTGCAGCACAACTACAGCTAAACAAACCTGAATTTGACTATCGAAATCCGACTTTTTTAATACTTAAAAAGAGTGACCAACAACCAAAAAGCCAATCAGTCATTTCAATATACAATACCCCCATATGTGTACCATGAAATAATTCAACAGAAATGAATTGTCTTCCACTTCCTGTCAACCTGCTGTTTCGTTCATTTCTATGCGCTCTCTCACTGAGGACAAGCTTCATTGGTCTTTACCAGAAAACTGTAACATACTTAAATCTCACTTTTGTCAGATAAATTTGGATCTTCAGCTCTTGCTATTAGTACCTGGACCAACCAATTCATTCTTTAGCATTCAAAAACCTCCCCGTGTTTTTGCATTTGAAATAAAAGTAAGAGCTGTGTTAGTATTTAAACCGTATTACAGCGAGGGGGGGAGTTCACAGCATGGTTCACAGTCATAACTACATACACTCAACAACCTTTAATGTGTGAAACTGGAGACATCTGACCTGTGACGGTCTTGGGGAAAGTCTATTCATTCAAAGCAGTGGGAAAAAAAGAAATATTGAATGTAATAAATGATATATCGTTGTTCATTTGGCTTTTTTGTTGTTTCACTTTTCTTCTCTGTTTTAATCAAAATTCTATAGGAGATTGTCTTAATTCTCAAAAAAGAACTTGATGTTGCCTGTAGAGAAATGATTATAAAAAACTACTGTTAAGAAAGACGTCTTTAAAATGATCTCTTAGCTCAGTCAGCTTTGTGTGTGTGTGTTTGTGTGTGTGTGTGTGAACCATGTTTTGGTCTGACCACCTGTTAGTGTTCTATCCCTAAACACACAAACACACACACATTTATAGTTGGGCCTTGTGGAAGGCCCGGACAACAAAGATACACACACACATGCACACACACACGTTTTCATGTTCACTGCTGTGTTACAAATTGTTTCCATCCACTTAAAGTGATTTATTATCTTAATTTTTTCTAAAAGGTAAAGTCTGTGTTCCCCACAGAGAAGCTGGTGCAGGCAGGTGTGTGCTGCACCTGTGGGTCCTCTGAGTGTAGGTCTGTACACGTGTGGAAGTGTGTGGTAGTTTATTGTGTGAGTGGGGGGGGGGGCATGTAAATATGTGTGCAAAGGCACATGGAGCAATAAACCATGCTTTAAGTGAGTGTGTCGACTGTGTGTTCTTCTATTGTTGTGAGGACTCATGGAGTCTGGTCCTCACAAATGTTAAACGTGTGTGTGAGGGTGAAGACTTCAGCTCAGGTAGAATTAGGTTTAGGTTAGGGCGAATGATGCGTTTAGTTGTAATGGATAGGGTTAGGGTAAGTGCATTATTTTATGAGTATTATCAGAAAGAAAGGAAGCACAGTGCGTGTGCATGCGTGCATGCGTGCATGCGTGCGTGTGTGTGTGTGTGTGTGTGTGTGTGTGTGTTGCGTGCGCATATAACTGGCTGCCACCCCACCAAGATCAAGCTGAACAGTGTTATTTGAGAACAGTGTGGTCCCTTAAGCCTGCCAGACACAAACACTAGCACACAAACACACTCACACAGTATGTGGTGCGGCGTGGCAGCAGCAATGACTCCACCAGAGCATGGAGACACATTAGCGAGTATTCAGCGCATGGCATGGCTCCTTGGCTCCTCACACCTTGCCACACACACTGACTTCCACACACACAAGATGCATCACAGCAGAGAGAAAATCCTCACTCAATTTCTAGTGCAAAAACAAAAAATGGGTTTCCGTGCCGACTGTTTACCTGAGGCACAAAAAGAAATGCTGTCTTCTGACTGTTGTTCTCTCTCTATTTCTCCAACTCCTCCTGCTACTCTACCCCCCCCCTTATAAAAATACATACAAACAAAAACACAAACATTAACAATAAATTGGATCTGATCAGAAACTGCTCTCCGCGCAGCAGACCAAATCCCAGAGGTGCCGTTATATCTTTCCACTTCCAACTGTGAGCAGCAAGAATCACGCTCCCGTTCCTCAACACCCTCTCGCTGCCTCCTCACTCTAATCACAGCGAGAGGAGTACAGGCAAAAGTGCCTGGAGCCATGCAGTGTGTGTGAGTGAGAGTGTGTGTCTGTGTGTGTCTGTGTGTGTCTGTGAGTGTCTGTGAGTGTCTGTGAGTGTGCGTCTGTGAGTGTGCATCTGTGAGTGTGTGTCTGTGAGTGTGTGTGTGTGTGTGTGTGTG